CCCAAAGTATTTTCATGCTGGGTTTTTATCTCGTTGCGTGATATGCAATGCATTGTGTGCAGCTGTTTTCTGACTCCGGATGGCCATTAAATTGACTTTCCACATTAACAAATATGTCTCTAAGGATCGCTTGCTGTTTTTATTCATTAGACAGTCAAGATGTGTAAAATCACAACGTGGGTTTAATTTCACGGACATGTGTGTAAATATTGTGCAGCGACTTTTAACAGCCCAGTACTACTTTTTCACACAGATCTGCTTCACTGTCAGCTTGCTTCTGCAACCAAATATCGTCTGCTGCCAGATTGATTCCTGGTGAAGCGGGGTGATATGAGCTATTGGCAGGCTCTCAACAAAAACCATACTATCTCAGTTAATTGACAGTATTAAGTGGCTACAATGCCCTTAAAAGCAAAATCTCAACCCATTTGTATGGCACCCAAGATAAGGCACTTTACACTAAATGAGATTTTGATAGCCTTGCAGGTTGATTACTAAGAAAACCAATCAATTGATGCATCCCCTTTGCCTGTGTTTGGTCACGGTGAACAAAGTCCAAATTCAGACACCTACGCTCAGGCACACAGCACACACAGTACATAATCTCAGTACTGAGTCCCCTCTTTGGCAGAAACACAGCTGGGAGGCTGCTAACCCTTGTCAGTCATTGCACAGGTTCTGAGAAAATCCTGTGCTTCATGACTGAACAAAGAAGAGTAAAGAATATTTAATGACTTGCCTCTAAGTACCTTAAAGAGTCTGATGGCTACAAAGGTATAACTTTTTCAAAACCAAGATGAATCAAAGGGAAATAAAAAGAAGCAATTCAATAGAGGACGTGGGTATTTACAGTATACAGGAGTCACGCTGACAACCTTTCTGTCCGTGAAACCACTTCTGGGGCACTGTTTCAAAACAGCTCCATGTAATGGAAGTGGTTTTCTGAAATTCCTTTACAACACAGTGTTTTAAGAAAGTCGATTTTAAACTGCATTGTGGTCGACTGAATTTAACTAGGTGCAAGATATTAAACACCACAGTAATAGTATGTACAGTTCCAAAGTATTAAATTGTGATTAATTGTTAACCCTTCATATCAATACAACAATATATGCTGATTTTCCAGTTACATTTGCAAAGCAGAAGCACAGGAATTTGGGTAAAAAGATCTACTAGCTGCTTTGTTTTGAAATATTTATAACTTGGGAATTTATCTGTATTCTAGCACTGGGCAAAACTGAAACAAGGATATACTGTATCCATATTAAATTATGACCATTACAGATTATGACATACTGTACTGCGTATTATTATGAATTTCCTTTTCCATGCTTGCACAATTCTTTTAAAAATGTAAGGACCCAGATGTAAAGAGCCTATACATTTAGTTTTCTCTTTAACGGCCTCTGTATTACCTTACTTCATACAGTACCTCATGTAGAAACACTGCTGAACCATTCTGCTCTGTGCATTTGTCTGTTCACATGAATGCCCACAGAAATACTTTCGCTCAAATGAAAGAAACTGAGATCTTCCCAAAATAGAAGAAGTCGTTGCAATTTGATCAGGAACAAAGCTTCAAAAGCAAAACTAGCCAGGGAGGAAAGACTAACCCATTCATTCTCCCACGTCTGTATCAAATACATTATTACATTAGCAGCACAGAACAGTCTTCATGAAGACCTATTTTTTATCAAGAACTTACCAGAAATTTTCTTTTATAGGAAAATATATCCATGCATTAGAATTTTGGAATATTACATCCCCAAAACCAAAACTGAAATTTGCATTACATATGACAGTCTGGAACAATGCAGAAATCAACAAAGAGCACTGTCACTCAGAATGCTTTCCGGTAAATTGAGTATACTGTAAATGGACATTTTGCAATAATAAAAGACTTCATGAAAGAAAGACACGGCCACATCACAACTTCAGGATAATAAACTCTGCAATCCCACCCTGGGATTAACTCTGCAGTGAACAATCTGGGGACAGGCTGTAAATGCACTAGTATTCCCATTATTTTATATAATTAACATGCACCATAACTCCTGTGACAAAAGGATTAGTTTCAGCAATGAGAATTAACATTTCAGTAACTGAGTATATAAATCAAGCATGCCTCTTTGGAGAAATGAAGATGATATATAGTCTACAGCTTCAAACTAAGACTAATGACTTCATACTCACTATACCTTCATTAAAGTGAATTACGCTTCTTGCAAGACAAGTATAGGTTTGGCATACTAATTGTGTGATAGTGACACACATAATCTAATTCCCATAGTGCAGTGGAAAATCCATGTGGAATGCAATGTGGCACAGAAAAATCATACTGCAATGCATGCTCTGTGCTGTCATTGCTAATTATCCATGCCTTTAATGCAGAATGCCTTTTGGACTGTGCAGATACAAAAGTACAGTATGTGTAAATGACCATGATGTGCAACATTCGGGGAGAGACAGATGTTTTCTGTCAAGACTGTTAGGATACATCCCAGAGATTTTAAAGCACTGACACATTCTGCAGCTGAATCCACTTGATCTAGTCCTAGACAAAAAATAACATTCCCCAAGACCTGAGAACTGTAACATGGTATCTGAAAACAGCAGTCAGAACAGGTCTGGCTGCCACTAGAGAAATTAGCTTTAGGAATTGCCCCATTTGTGAAAGCACAATGCTTTGAGTTGTCAAAAAGCATTTTTTTCATACACAAAATGAAAACAAATCTTCCAGTCCAAATATTATTGACCCATCTGCCTGAGTAATGCACAGGTAGGAGCTGTCATGTTAATTTCAAGAGAGAGGACAATAGCTCATGTTCACTCCTATTATTTTAGCACACACTGTCTTATGGAGCACAGACAGACCTAAAAGGTACTGACAGGAAGCTGGAAAGGTCTGCAGCACGGAGGCAGGCAGCAAAACTGTGCATGAATGATCACAGCAGCAGGTAATTGATACACTGATCATTGCAAGAGAAAACCTGTAGACTAAGACTGCACAGATGTCTTTGGTATTTTTATCATCTCAGATTCGCAGATGAGGTCGCTGGTTCCAATGACTTCTCCCTTTTGAGAACTCCTGGCCCACAAATCTGAAAGATGCTCAAACTATTCACAGTTTAACAATTGATTAGAGGTGTGGATACAGAATCTAAAGATAGCTTCCAAAGTCACGAGGTAAACTTCCACTTGTGTAACAATGCAAGACTCTCTATTCTTTTCTTACTGGAGCTCCAATATACACAATTTAATTAATTGTTTTGTGGAATTAACATATCTAATCTTCTCATACAGTTTTAAGTTGTCACACACAACTGCCCTAGCGCATGTTGTGGACACTCCTGAGTTAAGTCCTGTAACGTTTGGTAAATAAAAGTAGCTTTTGGTATTTTCACCGCATTTGCCTCACGAATTTCACTTACTGTACTGATGATCAAAAGTGATAATAATCTCAAAGCAGAATATGAGAAGACACCACAAACTATGACATCTAAACGTGTATTAATCATTGTTATTATTACATGTTTTGTGATATGAATTTGTGTTCACAGTGTCTTGGAAAAGTATTCAGACCCATCCTATGGAGTCCTATTTGTGTATTTACTGTACAAATGTCACAGTTTTGCCATTTTCAAGTCTCTCCACTGATTTCCAATAGTCAGGACTGGGCCACTCAGACACGTTCACTTTCGTATTCTGAAACCTCCGCATTGTAGCGTTTGCATCCTTGTCCTGTTGAAAGGTGAATTTGTGTTCTAGCTTTAGTCTGACACAGGTTTGTCTCTATGATCAGCCAGTACTTTGCCCCATTTCTGATCCCGTCAGTGTCGACAAGCTTCCCAGTGTCTGCTGCTGAGAAGCAGGACTACCTCACTATGCTGCCATTATCATTGAGATGTTTTGTTCCAATTCCATCCTGGCTGGGATATTGGTGCCTCACGGACGTCTCCTCCCATCTCAGTCTCCTAGCTGCGGCTCTTTCAAAGTCACTGCTGTCCTCACAGTGGCCTCGCTCTGTTGTTTCCTCCTTCCCGGGTGCTCTGTTTGGAGGCGTGTCTGGGTGCAGTTCACTTCTAAACAATCGCCTCACCGTGCTCAAAGAGATATTGTGGGTCTTTCCAATGTTTTATATTCATCTCCTCATCTGTGGCTTTCTGCAATTTTATCCCTGTGTTCTTTGAAAACTCCTTGATCTTCATGGTTAAAGATTTGCTTTAAAATCACTACCTGCCTGAGAGACCTTACAGAGATAAATGTATTTATGCCGAAATCATGTGGAACACCATTACTGCACACAGACAGAGGCCGTCGAACTAATTGCGTGTCTCATTAAGGTAATTTTGTGTATCCGGATTAATTAAAGTTTGCTACAGCAAATGAGTTTGTATTCTTATGCGATCATTGTTCTAGTTGTTTCTTTCAATGTTATATATTCACAAGCCAAAACGTTGTGTTTTCTCTCTTCTCTTTTCAGCATGGAATTAACCTATTACTTGTTCCTTCGCAGACTACGCATGCTGACGCAGCTACCCACCTGAATATTATATACTTACGTCTTTCTGGTTGTTTTTTTTTGCTTTGAATGAGTGGAGTAGTTAATTGCTCCTAAGGAGTGTCATGACTGCAAGCCTTTCAGCAAAACAATGTGAAAACTGTGTAAAGGTGTGAATACTTTTGCAAGGCCCTGCATGTCTGACGTTTTCCTCCCATTATTTTGAAGACTTCAGTGATATTTTAAGTCAATTGAAATGACTACATTGTATACCTACTGTATACTGGTTTATCCAAAGTTTTTATAAAAGATGGATGAGTTATCAGACCCATTTTACAGGGTTAATTGACAGTTAGTATTGACGTTTTTGACAAATCCGCCTGATCTGTTTATGTTCAGACCATGAAGTGGGCCAGGTGGTACCTACTGGATGGTACCTCCTAAGCCATTTAATCTCCTGGAGGGTGCAGCTGGTACCACCCAGCCCGTTCCAATCGGACGATCTCACACCGATGTCGACCCATTCGATGGCCTGACTGCAAACGCATCAACTGAAAAATCATAGCCCGTTCTTTCAACTGTTCAGAATACTTTGTTTCTCGATTTATACTGTATCTGGGCTAATCCTGATGCTGTTTTTTCCAGTCGTCAGTAACGTGTAACGCGCTGCCCTTCATGTGCGCTGTCTGCTGTGCCAGAGACTCTAGCAGGTCTAGTATTTGTAAACCGCGGTATAAACACGATTTCCAGCGGACAGCGCTATGCAGTTTTACACGTACGTGTGCAAAAAACCTCGGTGGTGTCATCGTTTTGAGGGCGCATTAAGTTGATGAGGGTGTAGTATATAATCCTGTAGTTTCGCTACGCCCTGTTGATCAGATACAGATTTCCCTTCCTATTACGCAGATAATAAAAAACACATTTTCAGTTATTAATTATGTCTGTTAGCACGCGTTCCTTTCCTTGTCGCATCATTATCCGCGTCTGTTTCGTTGAAGTGTTACATTATTCTATCCGCCAGCACCCGGAGCTCAGTTAAACCCTCTGGAGACACTCGTAGGCAAGAACGAAGGCACACGAACGGAATATATGATTTCCTATGCGTCCGTCAGAAAAATCTCACAAGACCACCTGCGCGCTGCAATTTGTTTAGCTTCATCAGTAACCAGGATTCCCTCTGAAAGAAACGGGTTTTACTGACGTGTGAACTTAATCTTCAACCAACTTCCACACAAAGATCTACCCATTGCTATGAATACTTTCATCTGTCCAAGCCGCAGACGCGCATAGATCTCTGAAGGAAATGTTCCACGGGATTATTAACGAAGTGAACGAACAATAGCATTTATATATTCTTAGTACCTCACCGCGATCATAAAAAAAACAAACAACCTAGAATAATATTGGTCATAAAATATAAAAGATTTGAAGTGCTGTTGTCTTGTTGTTCTTTTTTTTTATAGAAAGGAACTCGCACACGCGGAATCTGAGGAGGTTACAGTGTTTCCCACTTAGCTGCGGAGGAATTCACGACTCGCGTCTCGGAGCCCGGAGCCCGGAGCTCGGAGCTGTCCCTTTCAGCACCACCGAGGGCTTGTAAGGGGTTTCTAAACAGCCGGCCGTGTTGCCGAGCAGCCAGGACCGGAGGAGACGCACGAAGCCTGCGGGGAGCGTGTCGCCCTACTGAGCTCCGCTCTCCGGGGATGGGGAATCTTCTTGGACGGCATAAAACAACAGCAATTAGTCCACGACAGTGAATTCTTGCAGTGCAGAGAAGGATCGCGCTGGCTGCCGGGAAAGCCTCGCATCGGGGCTGGGACGCATGCAAGACATTGAAACCTCCTCGCCCTCGAAGAGGAACCCGGAGTCGGCACTGGACACCTCTGCTCGCCTTCAACTTGAGGACAGGATAATGTCCCCGGGTCTCTATGGAGCTCGTCGGCTGGATTCGTAAGAGCACGTCATAAGGGACAAAGGCTGTGATCAAGGTGAGCGCTTTTCAACGCGGTCTTTCATATTTAACTTGGCGATGCCGAACGTCTCCGTGAAGCGTTTCGTCATGATTTATTTTATTTTGGAGGAAAAAAAGAGAAAAGAGACTATGTAAAGTTGTTTGAAAACACCGCTCGACAAGTTTGAAGGGGGCTAAGACGTCGGACAAAGGCTAGCACTTAATATAAATGTGTAACTTTTGTCTTTATGATTTTGTAATTTAGTAACTCGTGCAGATTTTAAATTGCGAACCGGGGAGCGGTGCCTAGAGAGGCGCGGGTCTGAGTTTTATTTCGGCCGTGGTCCGCTTAAAGGCGATAAAGCTTACATCGGCGGCGAATCTGAAGTTAACAGTTATGGCTTGCTTTTGTTTTTTTACTGCTGCTTTTCAGCGAAGCAGGGGATCCCGAAACCGAACACTTGTGTGGTAAAAGATGATCAACACATGCACAGAAGGGAATTACCTTTGAAGAAGAGAAAGCCTTTGTAATTGTCAACGGGATTTCTCTCCTCAGCTGCAGCAGCCTCTGCTGTCGGACCACCTGCACGTGTGTGTCTTACAGACCATTCATTCTGGGTTGGTTTGGTTTTTTTTTTTCAGTCGGCGCGGTGGCCCTGCGTGCCCGCATTCCGCTCTCCACCATGACAGGCCAGAGTCTGGAGGATCTCAGCGGGGCCGATTTCGAAGACAGCGTCATCTGCATAAACGTGGGGGGGTTTAAGAAACGGCTCACGTCCAACACGCTGTCCCGGTTTCCGGACACCAGGCTGGCTCGGTTACTGCGGTGCCAGTCCAAGGAGTCGATCCTGGAGCTGTGCGACGATTACGACGACGCCGAGAAGGAGTTCTACTTCGACAGAAATCCCGCGCTTTTCCCTTACGTGTTGAACTTCTACAACACCGGCCGTCTGCACGTCATGGCCGAGCTGTGCATCTTCTCTTTCAGCCAGGAAATAGAGTACTGGGGCATCAACGAGTTCTTCATCGACTCCTGCTGCAGCAACGTCTACCACTGCAGGAAAATGGAGCCGGTCCAGGAAGACTGGGAGGACAAAAGCGAGGAGGGAAGCACCACGTCTTCCTTCGACGAGATCCTGGAGTTCTACAACGACGCTTCCAAGTTCGACAAGCAGCCCCTGGGCAGCGCGAGGAGGAGGATCTGGCTAATGCTTGACAACCCAGGCTATTCGGTCGCCAGCAGGATATTCAGTGTGCTCTCCATACTGGTGGTCCTGGGGTCTATAGCCACCATGTGCATGAACAGCATGGCTGACTTCATGCTTGCCGACGGCGAGGGGCACCTCCTGGAGGACCCCAGGTTCGAGATGGTGGAGCACTTTGGCATTGGTTGGTTCACCCTCGAGCTGGTGGCCAGGTTCTCCGTGGCCCCCGACCTGCTGCGCTTCTTCGAGCACCCCCTGAATCTCATTGACCTCATGTCCATCCTTCCGTTCTACCTGACCCTGGTCATCAACCTGGTGGTGGAGAGCAGCCCGGCGCTGGCCAACCTGGGCCGCGTGGCGCAGGTCCTGAGGCTGATGAGAATCTTCCGGATCCTGAAGTTGGCCCGCCACTCCACCGGCCTCCGGTCTCTGGGGGCCACCCTGAAGAACAGCTACAAAGAGGTGGGGCTGCTGCTGCTGTACCTCTCCGTGGGGGTCTCCTTCTTCTCCGTCATGGCCTACACCATCGAGAGGGAGGAGAACGAGGGGCTGGCCACCATCCCCGCCTGCTGGTGGTGGGCCACGGTGAGCATGACCACGGTGGGCTACGGAGACGTGGTCCCCCGGACCATCGCCGGCAAGCTCACCGCCTCCGCCTGCATCTTAGCGGGCATCCTGGTGGTGGTGCTGCCCATCACGCTCATCTTCAACAAGTTCTCCCACTTCTACAAGAGGCAGAAGCAGCTGGAGATCGCCATGCGGAGCTGCGACTTCGACGAGGGCATGAAGGAGGTTCCCTCCGTTAACCTGCGCAACTACTATGCACACAAGGTGAAGTCCCTGATGGCCAGCCTGTCCAACATGAGCCGCAGCTCGCCCAGCGAGCAAAGCCTGAACGAGTCGATGCACTAGAGAGCTCCCAGGAACGGCGGCGCCTGCGAGGGGGCAAGGCGACGTTGGGTCTCGGCCCCGGCCTGTAGCTGCGCTCTGCTTCCATGGATAAACCCAGACAACGAAACGCACACAACAGCCTACCGTGAGGGTTTATGGTCTCTTGAAGGACCCGAGTCTTGTGTGTTCAACCACGTGAAACAAACAAAATATCATGAATATCAACTTGGTGTGGGTCCTGTAACTGTGTACACTGTTCAGATGTTGCATGATGATCTTAATGTTGTCCGGTAGACAGCCAGCACCTATCAAAAACGATGTTACAGCCTTATCGCCCTTTGGGTTTTTTTTTTACGGAAGAGTACTTGAGTGACCACTGAAGAGTGTTTCTGAAAGTAATGGGACCACGTTTCTAAGTGCTTTCATTTAAAATGTCCTGTAATTTTTCACATATTACAATCTCCAAACCATGACAAAAGGAAGAAAACACTACATCGGCTCTTGAACGGAATTTGTAGATGATCATAAGAAAACGACAGATTTAATTATTTAATAAAGTTTACATTTTCCAAACATTTTCCAGATATTTTGTATATCTTGAATAACTCACACTATTTAGAATAACGGTTCAGATATTCTACAGAAAACATTTTAAATATGAGTTCCAAGTAGTATATCGCTTGAATAACACTTGGTTAAATTATTCTTAATGTTATTATACAATTGATTTGCAATGCCCAGGATTAAAAACAAATTCCCAAATTAAAAATTTAAAGAAAGTTCTGCTGTGTTAAAACGAATGATATTTTGACTACTTATTTTAAATGGACTTGTGTTTTAATTTTTCAGAAAAACTCTTATTGCAATATGAGATGTAGTGCCCTATTGTGTAGGTGCTTTTGTTGCTAGTATCATAAGTGTAAATTAGTTCCTAAGCAGTTAAGAATAACTTCATGATTTATACCCCTCCTGTTCAAATAGTACATTAAGCACAATAGTGTACTTCAGATGTATTACAAGGGCAATCTATTATATAAAAATTGAATTTAATATGGATTTTTAGGGACTTGTTTACAATTGATTTCCTTTTTAATTATCTGTTGTACTAAGCTTGAGAATGTAATCTTATTACAGCACAGAGAACACCATTATACTGGTATTCGGTCTGTACCACACGACCGTTAAATCAATATGTGCAGTTTTCCTGTGTGCTAAATGTATTGTTTGAGCTGGAGGGGTCTAAATTGTAAAGTTATTTTACTTTGGTACTGTATATTGCAAAAGCACCATAAATTAACTCTACTGGGGCATCAATACATTTTTATTGACTCCTGGTACAGCAGTGTCTACCACTGCAGAAAAACCGGTCCAGCCCAGGAAGACTGGGATGGCACGAGTGAGGAAGGAAACATCGCCTCTTCTTTTGTTGAAATCTTGGGAGTCCTACAACAACGTTTCCACAGATTTCGATTTCTCCCAGATCAGAGTGATGTGGAAGCAGTGCTTTATAGAAAAACTGACCACTGAGGAATTATTAATCTGTCTCTAAAACAGTTTCAAATTCACCTTCCATCCAGAAAGTTGGAGAAACAGGTGATGGGCGTTTGAATTTTCAATGTATCAGTCACCGTCAGCACATAGACCCATCGATTTCTTCTGCTTTTCTGCCTGAGGTGTTTTCATTTATTTCACCACTATCCTCAGACTGCTGAGATCATTCGTAACAAATAACTTTTAATTATAAAGCAGGAGGTTTCATCTTAGAACATAAGAAGATTGCAGAGTGTAGAAGGGGCCATTCAGTGCATCTGGCCTGTTTGGTATTTAGTTTATTCTTCTAAGAATGTCATCCAGCTGATTCTTGAGGGAAACCAAGGTATTGCTGGGCAGCTTGTTCCATGCTCCCACAACCCTTTGGGTAGAGAAGCACCTCCTGTTCTCAGGTTTCACCTCCACTTAGTTTCGACTGGTATCCTCCGGTTGGCGTTTCCCTGTTTGCTCCGAAGAAGCGCAAAGCAGACCCGTTCCTCATCGTCATCTTGACAGCTACCAGTCACCTGGAGCTCTAGATGAAAGAAAGGGTATTGTTGATGAATGAAAGGAAACTGTTTTTTTTTATTTTGCTGCTTTTTTTACAATTCATCTACATTGTATATGCACTTTGATCTCCGTTTCCAGAACTCGGCCGCCTCTGGAACAACTGTTTTTCCAGAGAGGATTACCATGTGAGCAGCAGAGCCGGACTGCAGCAACAGCATATCTGGATTCCACCTTCCTGGTGTGAATGCAGGGCCAGAACTGTGAAGAAAGGGGTTTTCGACATTAAAATCTTCCGATAACCACTCAGGCACTGTTGTATACAAAGCTAGAAGGGGCCCTGAAACACACGGAGGAAAGATTATGTACAGTAAAGTGTCTCCAAAGCTCCATTATTACAGTATATTTGTTAAGTAAAAAAATTGCCCACAATAGCCACTGGACATTGTGTAATCACGCGATTAGGAGCTTCAGCTGCTCTTTTTTTACCCCCAACTCAGCAAACAAAAGCATTTCTGCTTTGTTTGTTTCTCCTCCAAATGTGCTTCCGGTGAGCTACACTTTTTAATTTTTCTGGCTCCCCATCACCCCAGAATTGCTTCAGAAACCCCAGTCCTGTTCTGGTTCTGTCCGAGTCTGGTTCCAGGTGTCCTGCGCTGGAAGAGGTGCATTTTGGTGTATTTTTGTTTTTGGCTGTGCACCGAGACAGAAAAATAGATGTCCATGAATCGACAGGATCTATTCATTTTGAATTTGAGCTGGAACATGGACTAAATCACATAAAGTGTTATGTAAAAGGAAAATGAATAATGCATTACACGGATGTACTAAAATTCATGCACTTGTTTTTTTTTTAAAATAACAGTGGTGTTTCCCGAGGAACCGAATATTTCAGTTCAAGGAACGTTTTGTTCCGATGAACTTATGAATGATCTGAAAACAAATGATGGGAAGTCTATTTTTTCCAACATGCTCCATTAAAGTACTGAACTTTTTTTTTTACATGGCTCTCTCTTTATTACAGTCCTGCTTTGTGTACAGAAAACAAAACATCTTGCTTTCCATAACCCACTTGCCATATACCGATTTAAAAATACATAATAGTTCCTAACGTCTTCCGAAGCAGGGTAAGTACTGTCCCGGTGGCCTGTTCCGAGTCAGCTGCATGCCAGCACCTGAATCCCTAATTTGAATAAAACAGTGTGCCTTCTGTTTAATGACTCGCTGGATGCACAGTGCCCCTGCGTCACCAGAGAGTTAGCTCGGAATGAAAAGCAGACCTAGATGCACTTCGATTTCCAGTTTTAACCACAGCCACAAGGACATCAAGAGGCTTCTGTCCCCAAAAACATTTAGGAGCTACGGACATCATAAAGCAGTACTGCACTTTTTTAAAGCAAATTTGTGAAAAAATATGAGAGTAAAAGAGCTGTTAGAAACGTCAAAGTGTTGAAAAAATTTGAAACGGTCAGTGTTTTTTTTTTGTTCTTGAAAACCCCCCCCAAGAATATGAAAGATTTTTAACCACCCCACTGAAAAAGCAAGAAAAAGCCTTTATATAACATCTTCCCCCTGTTCATCCACCTCAGGAGTGCTTTGGTACAAGGGGCTGTGGGAAGGCCAGGCATTTTCTTGTGAAATGAAGTGGTACAGAAGCAACAGCATGTGGTGAAGGGGCTAGAGGTCATGTCCCTGCCGATTTTCAGCAGTGCTTATAAAGGCCTTCCTTGTTATTTTGCTCCACACACTCCTGAGCAGATCCATTCCTCCCACACGTGTGCACACAAGCCTCCATGCTCTGCACACTGGCCAGAGGTACAGCAGCAACATTCATTAGAGCACTGGACTCAGAGGGAGGGGGGTTCCCCGTCTTCTTGCTGTATGTGACACGATATTGCTGGCACAGTTAATAATTCCCTTTGAAATCCAGCTCTACGCATGCTTGTGTGGAAGGAATGCACAGTGAACACACTGAGACAATTGTTATTACTCTGGGAACTTCTGTATTCTCAAACAAAGCAAGGCAGACCAGCGAAGAGGGTGGAGTTCTTTAATGAGTCTTGTAGGAAAATACATCTCAGAAAATAAGTTAGTGTCTCCCTTAAGAAGTTACACATCCATTTCAATTTTTTTTTACACAGTTCATAAACGGGCAATTCTATGTTGGCTGATGTCACACACAAACCAAGGCGATACCAAGCCTTGATCGTCACAAGACCAGTCACTGGAGATTTCCTGACATGGAGAGGCTGATTGTGCCATCAGTCCAAATGGAACTGCTTGCATACTACGTTCTGGCAAAGTCCAATTTTTAATTGAGCACACAACCTGTAAGCATAATGCAAAATCTAAATGGAGTGCAGTGTTGCACGACTGTTAATACAGACTTACATTAAGAGAACTGTTAACTACTGTACATTAACAAAAATGGTATGTAGTAGGAGTATGAGTAATATTAACTAACATGGGGGAGAATTTCAAACGATTTCTATTTAAACATGCACAGTCGAAAACTATGTTTGTAATGCCAGTTTCTAAACAGCGTATCCTTCTGGGGAAAAAAATTAACAGTCTACCTTGGAAAGACATACAATATTAAGTTTAATATATTTAGACAGTCCATCAACCTTTTCTTCTGCTGTAGTCCTCTGAAGGTCTTTATTGAATCTTTTTGTATCCTTGAGCTACTACTGTGCTTATCCATTTTGCCTGACACTTTTATCAGTGATTGTCAGTGGAGAGCAATGTACATGTATTATTGACAAGAAGGAGATTTTTAAGCCATACAAATAGATTTGGATTGATGTTGCAAAGTGGGTTTACAAGAAATTTGCAGGGAACGTTTTATGGGCGATACTGAAATATACTCCAAAAGCATGTGGCATTCCACAGGAAAAAAAGCTACAGCTGGGAAGGACAAATTCGTTTCTGTTTGTAATTCGGATGAAAGCTGGTTTCCATCCATAGTTCACCAAAGGTTGCAAGCTCCAGGATGATCACCTGTTCTTGGTACAGTACATGTACTGCAACGTTACTGAACAACACAAAGTTCCACATTGTACATGGCTCCAGTAAGGTATTCACACTGTCGGCTCCCTTAAGATGTCTGTGTAAGGTTTTAAGAGAGCTTGAGAAACAATTCACACCTACAAAGGTGCTCTCACTGATCAATGACTTTGAGAACACAGTCCTAAAACTATTACGGCAAAGTGTAGATCTGTCAATGTGAGCAAAATCTATTGAGCTTTAATTGAGATGGTAAAGGCGCAATGTGTGATGTGATTACGATCCTCTATAACCATAGCTTTCAGAATTCTCTTACCCAATGAAGGTACAATGGTTTGAACAAAGGATTCTGCCTGAAGATGTGGCCATCCTAACAGTCAGCTCATCATGTGAGCTGCTTGCAACCATGCTGGAAACATCAAATTCTGTGGACTTGTTTGCAAATAAATGCACCAGTTGCTAAAATGACAAATTGAGGGGATGCTGTCCAAATCAGAGCAGAGCAGCCAAATTTAGTTTTTAACCTTAAAAGACATTTATTAACACAAACCAAGTCTGGAAAAGACAGACTGTAACTCAGCTTACTACAAAACGTCTATACCTACAACACAATCACTCAAACCACAGTGGAAAGAGCTACAATGTAGGTCTATAGTCTAGGAGAAACTCTTCCTTGTCTGGGGAGGTTGTTGAAAGTCCTGCAAGTGCAGCCATAACAACATTTTGTTTCCAAAATAAGAAGACTGAAATTCAACAGAAACACTTCCATCCATTTTCTAACTGCATCATCTGGTACAGAGATGAGGTGGGGCCAGAGCCTATCCTGGCAGGTAACGGGCACAAGGCAGGATTCACCCTGGATGGGACGTCAGGCCATCACAGGGCACGCACGTACACACACGGACACACTCACACAATTTTCACAGAAGCCAGCTAGCCTACCAGCACGTCTGGACTGTGAGAGGAAACCCAAGACAGGGAGAACATAGAAACTCCACACAGACAGCACCCCAGGGCTGGAATCGAACCCAGGGCTGCAGCACTGCAAGAGGGCAAGGCTAACCACTGTGCCCCCCAACAGGAACACTAAAGCATGTCAAACGAGCCTAGTGTCTTCACACAACGCTGTTTCACAAACACCCCCACGAACCCGTCTGCCAGGAACTACATGCCAACTGGAGTGTCAAGAACAGATATCACAGTGCAGGAGGTTCTACAAACATACTCGAAAGAATGTCCCCTGAAGTAAAGAAACAGAACTCATCCCAGACAATGTACTTATGCAACTGATTTCCATGGATACTGAAAAGCTGCCTTTGTAAGTCCTTTTTTGAAGTCTATGTAACATTTACTGGAACACAACTAAACTGAAGTTCAAGGAATTGTTTGTCCTCTTTCCATCAGTGCTGATTATGCTAACCTGCAGATGAAAGAAAAACAATCTTTGCTAAAAATTACAGCCACTGAGCATCATAGTCATACATTAAAGACAAGCTAAAGTGATTTTTGTAAACCAACAGTAATCAATCAGCTTTGTAAGTGGTCCAGGAAAGATCCATCAGAGTTTCTCCACTTGAACTTAGTAAAACTGTAAGCACATTTATTTCTCAGTCAGAGGTGAAGTCCATGTCCTTCAGTTTCTGAATATAGGGTAAGGTGCAAAGGATTACTAACTTGCGTATATATTTCTAAAAATTAAAAAAAATAAAAACGGCAACATTAAAATATTCAGCTGCAACAAAAGCACTGTTTAAGTAGCTCATTAATCTCTAGAAATAACGTTTAAAGAGGAAAAGAGCATTTAGGAGCATTCTAAAGTATGTATTTTACATCCTTTCCTATTAAAACAAGTAAGGGTTTAGCACAAGATTATACCTTATAAATAGCATGCACTATGTTTCACTA